GTAAATATCTGATGCACATGACAACTTCAAGATATTATCACCATTTTAGAGATGAAACTGTGTCTCAGAGTGAAGAAATCTGCTCAGGGTCACACATAACTAGGATTATGATCCAGGGTATTTTTACAGAGATTATGTCTTAGTTATCATATTATCTTGTCCCAAGTCATACTTGTACAACTGATTTACTGTTTGTGAAGGCACTGTGATTTCTGTGAAAGGTTAGTTTAGGTGAAGGATATGTGAGTAATTGTTGTAATAGTTCAATTTTCTTTAGTAGGGCAGTAACCATTTGGATTAACTTGGCCCATAAAGACATTTTTAAGCTACTATAGGGTTCTCCAAAGCATTAGTTGGAAGCCTAACTCTGCTGTTTTCAACTGCTGACTCTAAGTGGCCTTAGGAGAAAACTACCAAATAAAAAGTGCACATATTCTGAGTCTTCCAACTTTCTCATGAATCTGGTTTTGTCAGCAGAGGGACCTTTCATCACTTCTCTGACCTGGAATAACTGTCTCCAGTATATTCAGGAACAGTTGAGACTAAAAAGCCAAAATAGAAAAGTTGAAGAAGTCATCGAATATTTTATTTTCTGACTGGTTTTATAAAGTGTAGATTGAAATCAAATATTTTAGTTTTAAAAGTTTATTCTGTTCTAATAAACCATTTGGTTTTTCTCTTCTCCAGACCATAGTCTTGAGTTTACTTATGAGATCAATTGGAAATAAGAACACCATTTTATTGGGTCTAGGATTTCAAATATTACAGCTGGCATGGTATGGCTTTGGTTCAGAACCTTGGTAAGTATAAATACATTAACTTTATTAAAATTGTGAGGTTTTGCTCCTTTTTGTATTTTATTTTTCAGCTTTAAGATATATTTGACAGAATTTTGTTTTTCCTTATTTGCTCCTCAGTTAGGACTTAGGTTTTAGATTCTGAAAGTTAACTTCATTTTTCTGTTTAGAAAAAGTTGAGTAAAGCTTGTTACTTATGGCAAACTAGAAAAAAGGCCACTCGTTATGATCCTGGCTTCACGCCCTACTTTTCATGCCAGTTTCCACAGGCGCCTGGCAGAACTGGCGATGCTGACGTCAAGCTGTCATGAACACCTGTGAGCTGAGCACAGGGCCGAGCGCCGCATTCACACAGATGTTCCCTAAAATTAAAATATTGTCTGTTTCGTCTTCGACATGAATAATAAATACCAAGTGCATATTTTGATGGGCATTTTGCTTTCAAGTTCAGCTTTCACAGAGGTGTTCACAATTTATCTAAAACATCAGGTCAGGAACATCCAAAGTTGAGATCAAATTAATGATATTTTCACACTGAACACAAATCTGTGGGAACCTTGCTGAAGATTTAGCTGGCTTCACATGTTTGGAAACGCTTAATGTTTCTTTGCATTATGCACTGTTTTTCATGCACACACTTCGTCACCCCCAGGAAGAAATAATGCCCAACTTACTTTTCAGTTTGGGGTGTGATACCCTAATTCTGCACTAAAGCCCCTCATCATTCTTGTTTTTCTCCTTTGTGGAATAAAGGGCTAGACTTTGAACTGACTTGTGCAGAATCACATGGAAAGGAAGAATAGTGCAAGTAAATGTTTCATCTCCCTATATTAGAACCTTTTCACAATAAGAAGTGCTTCGTTTTAAGTATATATTTTGACTGTGACAGGTATAATGGAGAGTTCACTGTTTTTAATTTTTTGCTGCTTTGATTACAGGATGATGTGGGCAGCGGGCGCAGTCGCAGCCATGTCCAGCATTACCTTCCCAGCTGTCAGTGCCCTCGTTTCACGAACTGCTGATGCTGATCAACAAGGTGAGCTGATCGGAACCGGTGGTGTTTAAACGCACAGCACATACTCTACTCCTGTGCTTTTACTGTTTCTTAAGTTCTGAAACATAAGTATCTCCAGGGCAGAGGATTTTTTATTTTCATTGTAAAGGAGAAAAGCAGCCCTCCCTGGTGGTGCAAGGGGTTAAGTCTCAGCACTAGAAAGCAGTCCACAGCCACTCAGCCTGGGTTTGATCCCTGGCCAGGGAGCTGACCCACAAGGCACAGCAGACCTCTCCTGTCTCACCCGCTGCTCCTCTCAGCAGTGTATTTCAGTCAATCTGCCTGTTCTGCTCCCCAGTCTGTCTCTGGTGAATCGTCTCACCCAGTTCATCTATGCAAAAGTAAAGAAAAAAATATTAAGAAGAAAAGTCGATTTCTAGGATGTTAGCCTTAGGTGGCTATATAGTCATTATCTGTCACTCCATGTGTAGCATTAGCTGAACTTTTGCTAAACAGTCATTTAGCAGTGGAAGCTACCCTTTGGTCTATTAACCAATTAGGAGTTTGCTATTATGATGTGGGAGACATCTTGAGACACACTCATAATACTTCCAATCTAATTGACCTTTCAGTTACCTAAAAGACACATAGCAGATGATTCTATTGTCTTAAGCTTTTGTGATAGGACATTTACTTCATGGAATGATAACAGATGAAGAATAATGCCCAGAAATGATCTTTTATCTAGTAATAAGGAAAATGCGGTGTTGCAAAAAGAATGGCAGTGGCCACTTGGTGAAAAAAATGATGAAAAGCCTTTGGCCAAAACCAGTTGCACTTTTTTTTAAGATTTATGTATTTGTGCATACAGAATTGGGGTACAGGCCAGAGGTACAGGGGTAGTGAGATGATTCACCAGAGACAGAGTAGGGAGCAGAACAGGCCAGGTAAAAAAGTACACTGCTGAGAGGAGAGCAGCGGGCTGGTCAGGAGAGGTCTGCTGCGCCATGTGGTCACCTCTGGGGCGAGGGATCAAACTCATGCTGAAGTGGCTTTAGCTTCTTAGTGCAGTACTTTAACCTGGCTGCACCACTAGCGAGGACCACACTTTAAATTTGAGAGGAGATCCTGGAGATAAATTCATACTATAAAAAGGGTCTATTTTTGACTAGATGGTCGTAACGAGCTTCATGGGGATAATGTTTTGGGAACTGGTACCTGATTTTCAGCTAGCTGACTAAAATAAAAGGAAAATGCTTCTACCTACCTGTTTCTACTCTAGCTGTCTGAGCTCACATTTTCAGACAGGTTATTACACTTTATATGTCATCACAGTAATCACTAGTGTCTGATAGTGATTTCATGTTTACACTGGTTCTAGTGTAGGGGGAAAAAAAGTGGTATACTAAGTCGTTATTTGTTTATAAATAATTTAGGTGTCGTTCAAGGAATGATAACAGGAATTCGAGGATTGTGCAATGGTCTGGGACCAGCCCTTTATGGATTCATTTTCTACATATTCCATGTGGAACTTAAAGAACTGCCAATGACTGGTACAGACTTGGGAACAAACACAAGTCCGCAGCACCACTTTGAACAGGTAATTCTTCATTCACATTATAAAAGTACAGTTTATTTGGCTGGTGTGGGAGACTTTTAGATTTAATAAAACACATTAAATACAAAGCCTAAGGGACTATGCTTTATATACATCTTTGTGAAGTTGGCTGTCACTACCTTTTTCCCCTTGAGAATTACAATTTAAACGTTCTAGCTTGTCATATTCAATCTTGTGGCATAGGCAACACCACCTGCTGTACACCACGTCTTTCACCTGAGACTTGACGTTAAGAGTCTCAAGTCTGTTTTCTGTGATAGTCAGGTGGATGTTGGGTAAACATCTCTGTGCACTTGTTTACCATATCTCCCTCCTATTACTGAAAACACTAACGCCATAAAAAGTTATTGTAGCCAAGACTACATTTAGATAAAAAATAAGTTATACACAGGTAAAACTGGCAGTGTTTAAGTTTCTGAAGTGAAGGACTGTAACCTTGGACTTGTCTTATGGAACTGTTCTTTTTCTTTCTTTTAGTTACGAGAATGTAGTTACCTTTTTCAAGGAGGAAAATGGTCATTGATTCTCTTACTGTAGCAAATGTTTATACCACTTGATTGTACTTTTGAAATCTTCCTCTTGAACTATTAAGCGAAGGCTCAGTGCTGTTTACGCTGTTTTTAAGTGTCTTTTGGTTGAGTCAGTTATCCCATAATTTTATAGTGGGTCTGACAGTGCCCTTCTCCTCCTGGAAAGGGGGCTCTTTTTCTAACTGGCCTTGATGAAGTTGCACTGCTTGTAATTTCCTAGCAGTCAGTTACAACTGAAAGTTTAGCGATTTCTCCTGTAAGCCAAGATGTGTGAGCAAAAGACCTAATTGTTCTTTTCTTCCTCAGAATTCCATCATCCCTGGCCCCCCCTTCCTCTTTGGAGCCTGTTCAGTACTGCTGGCTCTGCTTGTTGCCTTGTTTATTCCGGAACATACCAATTTAAGCTTAAGGTCCAGCAGTTGGCGAAAGCACTGTGGCAGTCACAGCCATCCTCACAGTACACAAGCGCCAGGCGAGGCCAAAGAACCTTTACTCCAGGACACAAATGTGTGACGCCGAAATCAGGAAGACTCTTTCTATCAGCACCCAGGTCTTAGTTTTCACCTGTAGTTCTGGATGTACATTCCATGTCCACCTGCAATGTACTTTAAGATTGTCTTAAGAAATGTATCTGCATGAACTCCGTGGGAACTAAAGAAAGAACTGGACAGTTTTCCAAAGATGTTACAATTTCTTTTGAAAAGAAACCTTTTGTTTATTAGCACCAATTTCTTGCCACTAAGCTGTTTGTTTTTATTATACATCCTTTAATTAAAAACTATATATGTAACTTCTTAGATACTAGCAACGGTCTCTGCTACCATTTCCTTCAGGTGTTGAGCTTTAACTATTTATGCTGACTCACAGTGAGACAGAGTTAGGTAGTATGGTTGTGGACCAGTTCGTTTTAACATTTTAAAATCTTGAGTCAGATTTTAATATTGCAAAATCTTGGGTCAAATAATTCAAAGCCTTAATGCAGATGCACTAAAGTAAAGAAATGGTAAAAGCATTGTTTGGATTAAAAAAAGAACTTGTAAGAAAACTGTACGAAATCTGAATCATGTTTCAAGCTTATTTGTAGTTATTTTATTTTAAACATTATTCACTACTGTTTTTGAAATGAGAAATATCAGCCATTTAGCATTCAACTTGGGGTCTGTGGAGCCTGTAAATGTAAATGCTGGCTCAAATTTGTTCCCCAGCTACTTATACCACTATTCTTTTAATGTTTGCATAATCATTAGAACCTCAACACTTGAATACATAATCTAAAAATTATATAGTAAAGCTGGTAGCCTTGAAAATGTCAATGTGATATCTATATGTAGATAAATATATATAGTGGCCTTTCAGGACTGTCACAGTAACACTTTATTTACAAAGCTAATGTTTGTCCTAAATTTTCAGGACCCTAGAAGAGAGCTTTATACAATTACTGATGTGAATTTCTCTAAAGTGTATATTTTTGTGTCCAGTTATATTATTTAAAAAGTGTTACTTTGTAAAAATTGTACATAAAGTATTGTATAGTTTACACTGTTTTCATCTTGTGTGTGGTTATTGCTTAATGCTTTTTAAACTTGGAACACTCACTATGGTTAAATAAGGTCTTAAAAGAAATGTAAATATTCTGTTAATAAAATTAAATATTTTAATGATTTTTTTTAAAGAAAGTCTTGATCTGTGACTCCCTATCGGGCCTATTTGGCTTTACTTGTGTTACCATAACCACTTTTGTAGTAACAAATTCTTAACACCTTCTTCAATCTGAATCCATTTCTTTTCCCTCGCTATAAACTACACTTACCTGGAAGTTAACTAGAAATGAATTTAAGCATAAACATCTATCAGGACTACTCTGTTTTTTATGTATTTTTCATGTCATACTCCCCAAATATTAATACTTTATTAACAAAGCTCACAGTTTACAGATATATTAAGTGCAACATTTTGATTATTGACACATGTACAATTTTACACTGCAAAACAATTTCAAATAAGTGTAAGAGGTAGAGCAAAGACTTCACACTCTAGTCTATATACATTTAATACAAAAAAGCCAATATGATATAAAAATACCAACTTTGCATGGAAAAGGGTATCTATATTTTAAAAAAAGCTATCTATGTAAAAAATCCAAACATCCACACAATGTTTTATACACATTACAAGTATTTACAAGAAAGCAGATTTTAATTTTATCAAAAAGTTTCTTTCCAGGTTATAATTCAGTGCTTTCAAGTTATTATAACTGAATATCTTTACTAATATAGCTTGTCTGAGCACAGAACTATATGTTAACAGTGCTAATTACAGTTACTGGACCTTTTAGACTACATCCCTAGTTTCAGACAGCTTGCAACTCCAAGTTTCGTTAAGACTCCAAGCTTCATGAAAAGTTCAGCAGTTTGGTATGTCACTAGCTCTATCTTGTACTGTCTTTTCTTGGAAATAATTTTTTAAAAATTACAAGCATTAGCAATCTTTGCAAACAAAAAACTGATTCAGAAATTTAAGCAAAAGCTTTCTGGGATGTTTGTCAAGAAAAATGGGGCCTATGATTTAGTGAATTTTCAGTCACCTAATGTTTTCCAAGTAACAATGCTTAATTGAAATATTTAGTGATAAGTAAAGGTGGTCATTTCTAAGTTATTCCTTTTGCATACTTTATTAATATGCAAACAATGAACTGATTTAAAAAACTACAATGAATATGCATGATGCTTTTACAGAAATTTATGTAGTAATCAATTTTCAAATAATATTTCACTAATAATAGACCTAGCTGCATAAAACAGTAAAACTCCAAATGAAAGAAAAATGGAATGAGTATAGACTGAGTTCTAGCACTCGTTAAAATCCTTAACTTTGTGGTGAAATGACTAAAGCATTTTATACTACATCTAATGATATAAATACACTTCGCTATTAAGGATTAATTTCATTCATTTAAGGTAATTTTAGGACTTTTCCCTTTACATAGTAAGTAATAATATAAACATCCAAGATAATCACTTTCCCTCATAATTCTCAGGTGGTAAATTTAAAACATTTAGCCAATGAAAATATAAAATTAATTACCATTCTTTGGTGTCCTATATTACATCTGAGAAGGTTACAGTTTACCCAGATATTCATTATGATCATAATGTACGTTAGAAAGATCATCTCTTCTTAAAATTTTAAATTCGTAAGGATTAAGTTAACAACATTCATACCCTTATTTTACAAAACACCAGATTCACAAACTAAATGGTATCATTTACTCAATAACTAGTGCCAAATTTGCTCCTCTGAACTGTGCTATAAACAGCAGTGTACTTACAGGGTCAAATAATCTAACAGAGGAGGAGCTCAAGTAAACTCTGAAACTTGCTTCTTAACATTTGATATATTAAACATTTAAATCACCCAAATTTATAAACTTTAAGCAGTAAAGTATGATGCTGGGTTAACTGCTGGGTAACTGCTGGTTAACTGCTGGGTAACTGCCCTGGGAAGTAGGCTGAAGGTGCAGAAGGGAGGCCTGCTGGTTTTGAAGATGTCTGCAGTGCTCCTAACGTGCTCTCTTTCTGATGATCTGCACACGAGGACAAAAAAAGGTCATTTGCGTTCCTTTGATCTTTTATATGTATATTTGGTCAAGCCACAGTGAACAATCCATTTCAAAATATCTTCTCACCTGGATTATTAAATAGATTTTGGCTGAGCCCACGTAAAGGAATGCTATCTTCCCTTTTCTTCAAGTATTTGGATTCCAGCCCCAAATTTTCACTGCTTAAAAAGAAGAGTATTTTAAATGAGTCTGATGTTAGTAGTTAATTTTGAAAGTTTATCTCTAAATACACACTATACATAAGAACTAATATTTACAGCTTTGTTCAAATTATGTTCTTTACTGGTTTCTAAGCAAATGATTTATCTATACATAAGTCAATATGCCCTTCCCAGTAAATTATAATTTTTTAAAATTACTAAAAATTCTGAGAACTGGGATAAATAATATGTGGGACATGAAAACTATGAGTATTCCAAAATGATAACAGTCCCTAAGTGATACATGAGGGAAGAAAATATACATGTGTGTGTCTGAAAATAATTATTTTATTAATTTCTATCTCATCCTTTGTTTAAAGTGATTTAAGCAAAAGCTTTTAAAAATTTATAGTACTTAAAATCTGTCATCATTTAAAACACTAATAACTCTTCTAGACAACAAATAAAAGCACCAGTTCTGAAAACCCTATTTTTTTTTTAAAATGTGGTTAAAATTCCTTTCCTTCTGCCAGAAACATGGGGTTTTTATTTTGATTATTTTTAAATATAATAGTTTATTTTTATATCATTTCGTACATTTTTTTTCATCTCAATTGTTCTCCCCGTGGGTTGAAAACCCTAATTTTATGAACATATGATTATGCTTGATTTTATACCACAAATATGATCTTTATTGATACATATCTGTATCAATAAAATTGTTTTTGGTATGTGATACAGTTAAACATAAACACATGGTATTCTAACATTAATATGAATTCCAGTTGCTCTGCCTCAAACTGAAATTAAATATGACAAAAAAGTACATCTCAGGACTTAAAGAAATTCTGATTTTTTTTAAAAAGGGGAGGTTCACAAATACTAACTCTTAAAACCCATCTTGGTCCCATTTTAGAATAAAGGTTAGAGTAGTGGGTTAAGATTACTCTACAGTGAAGCATAATTCAGAAAAATGGAGCACATCAACAGTGAAACAGCCATATGAAAACAAAAATGCTGATGACTAGGAATTAGATTTCTAACAGCAACTTCAAGTGTCAGACAAATGAGTAGGCATCGTAAAAAGTACTACTAATTCTTTAAGATGACTCAAATTGTAAACATTAAAGTTTATGTCAGTAAGTACTTACTTTTCTTTATCAGTGGAACATGGCATGCTAATAGTTGTTCCTGATTGAATATCGCCTACTGATGTATTTGGCTTGGTAAACTGCAAGTTAAACTGAACCTGTAAAGAGGGAAAACATCTCGTATAAATGAATTAGTGAACACATAGTTCTTTGTGGAGCTGTATGGCTATGCTTGTTTTCTGGTAAATCTAGACCACAGAATTACAAGTTCAACTTACAGTTTTTTCACAAACACACAATGAGAACATTTAATAAAAAGTCTATTTCTCATTGCCAAAAAAGTTCCTGTCATACAAGGAAGAATGTGAATGAACTGCAAACATGCAGGAGGGTACGTTTTTGGGAAAAAAAAATGCTTGAAAATTGGACTGTTGTGATGGTTCTACAACTCTGTATGGATTACAAGTATTGAAAGTAGAAAGTTAATGGTGGGAGAATGTCATGTGGGTTGTAAACCATACTTTAGTAAAGTTTAAAATTATTTTTAAAAAAAGCAAAGAAAGTAAAAGGACAAAATAGGGGAAAAATCTAAAAAAAAATCTAAATAATAATAAGCTGTCTAGAATATATAAAGAACACGTCATTTTACAGGGGTTAAGCAGCCCATACAAAAACTGACTAAAAAGAATGACCAAAATTTTTTCAGGAGGAAACAATCAAGCAAATACTAATTAATAATCAGTCACCAGACAGGCTACAAGTACCTTTGATTCAGTTACTTTTAAGAATTTATCATGCAAATAATTGTATAAGGACACAAAGATAGCTGCTAAAGCAATGAATAAATAACTAGAATGAAAGCAACCTAATTATTAACAGAGCATTCTAGCACATTTACATAGAGAAATACTATGAAGTGATTAAAAGAAAAAACTTACATTATAATACATGGAAATGAACCTATTCACAACTTTAAATGAAAAAAGCAAGACACAAAACAGCGGGCATGTATTCATTACTTTTTTTTTAAAGACTTTATCTTTTGCATAGAAGAACTGGGATGTAGGTCAGAGGTATGGGGCCAGAGAGGATTCACCAGAGACAGAGTGAGAAGAGCAGGCAGATTTAATGAAACACACTGCTGAGGGGAGCAGAGAGTGAGACAGGAGAGGTCTGCTGCGCTGTATGTGGGGCTCCCGGGCCTGGGATCAAATGCAGGCCACAGCAGTGATAGTGTCGAGAGGTAACTGCTAAGGCACTGGGAGGCCCTCTCTATGCTTCTTTATACAAGCACTCAGGTATACAGACCTACATTCATACATGTACACGAACACATGCTCATTTTTTACATACTTGAAGTGTTTTTGGAATATATCACAAATCTTCCTGCAGTGATATTTCCCTGAGCACTAGGGAATACAGAAAGGACATTTAGACAGTATATTTACATTTTCAAAGATGAATTTATTTATGCATACAAGTATTGAGGTACAGAGGTAAGGGGGTGAGAGGATTCACCAGAGACAGTGGAGAGCAGAACAGGCAGATTTAGTGAAATATCCTGCAGAGGAAGTAGCGGACAAGACAAGTCCGCCACGCCATGTGGGTCAGCTCCCTGGCCAGCATCAAACTTGTGCTGCAGTGGTTGTGGATGGCTTCATAGTGCTGTGCTGTAACCTTTGTGCCACCAGGAAAGGCCAATATATGCTCCTAATAAATGTAAGAGCTTTCCTTGTTCACATATGTTTTAAAACAGTTAATGTAAAATAAAAATTCAGAGCCATCTGGTGATGTAATCAAACTAAGTAATCTATCTCTAGATAAAATACATTGCCAGCTAAACACTATCAAGATAAACCAAATTATCTTAATAGCTCTACTCTCATTGCAAAAAATCACTCACATACCCCATAATATCCACGTGAAATGTGATCACGCTTGACCTTAAGAATTTATCCCACACAAAAGGAATCAGATATTATAAAGTGCTTAAAAGTCTATTATTACAAGTATTTTCTTTGACATCAAATATCTCTTTTATAACATTTCAGTTTGAAAGAAACTACAGGTTACCATCATAATGCTGTTTCACCACGAAACAAGAGGCATATTGGCAGAGACTGGCTCATTACCTCTCTGGAGACTACAACAATGCCTTGACCTCAGCAGACCTGCATGAACTATTTGGCTGAATGAAAGAATATTTGGCTATCATTGTCTTAAAAACAAACGGGAAGAGGGCTTTCTCTGGTGGTGCAAGTAGTTACGGTTCAGCACTACAAAGCTCTCTGCAGCCAAGCTGATCTCTGGCCTGGGAGCTGACTCACATGGCACAGCAGATCTCTCCTCTCACCCACTGCTCTCCTTAGCGGTGTGTTCTGCTCCCTACTCTCTACTCTCTGCTGAGTGCTTTCAGTCCCCCTCCCTGTACCTCTGGCTTGCATCCCAGTTCTTGTATGCATAAATAAATAAATCTTTAAAAGCAGGGGTGGGGGTTGGGGGGGGGAAGAAACTTGTTTTATCTGCCTTGGGCTGCCTTGCTTTATAATTATCAAGTGCTTTGTCTTTCTCTTTTTCAGTTTGGCACAACCACTTTACTTATGTATTCTTTCAGAAAATTTTTGCTTCTTGCTTCATTTAACATGGTATTTTACAGCCTCAGAGTTAAAAACTTATTTTAATGGTTTAAATCTTGAAATTAACACTTTAAGAAATCTGGTACATAAGAGACTTAATATCATGAAATATACATTTTTATTTTACTGCAACTCAAAAGAGCATATATTTCAATTGCCACAGCTGCTCGCCCAAGACTTGTTTTTTCTCTGTGAGATATATGATCAAATGAACATCAATCAAGTCCAATGACACAGATAGGGCACACTGAAAACCCTGCTCCTTTGTCTATTATTTACTTTTGGCTGTTTTTCTTTCTTTGTTTAAAAGCATCTTTATTGTAATTCTTGATTCCACAAAAGAGATAATGTTATTTTACAAGTAATATTTTACAAGTAATAAAAGGACCTAGTGGTCCTACCACTAGGCAACTAACTGTAGTAGTTTATATCCTCACTTTGGACATTACATAATTCCTGCAAATTGTTTTAAAAGCAATTGTGAATTTAATCATAATTCTCAACTAAAAAAACCTCAAGCTGTAATCACTTCAGTATATTATATCTATTAGAAAACAATAATCCCTTGAGCATCTATCTTATTTTCTCCTTAATGAGCAAGCAATGCAAAAAAAGCCATTCAGTATGTCTAAATACTAATTACATAATATTCTAAGCACAGAATCTCAGGCTTAATTCATTTCATTTCATTAAGAATTATTTAATTTTTTTTTTATTTATGCATATAGCACTGGGGTACAGGGGTGGTGACAGGATTCACCACAGAGAGTGGGGAGCAGAACAGACAGATTGCTGAAGCACACTGCTGAGGGGAGCAGTGGGAGGGTCAGGAGAGGTCTGCCGTGCCATGTGGTCACCTCTGGGGCTGGGATCGAACTCATGCTGAAGCTGCCACTGCCAGCTTCACAGTGCTGCGCTCCTACCACTGTGCCACCAGGGAGGGCCACATTAATAGCTCCAGATGGTAAGTTATAAGACTGTTGCTAAAAAGCAGCATATGCCTAGCAACACAGTGAACTTATTTTTAGGACAGCCCAAAACTAATTTGACAGAATTCATAATAGCAGTTTTAAAGTCTACAGTTCTGTATTTTAAAAAAGTCTTTTATAAGCTTTTGTCTCTATAATATAGGAAAAAAATCAACTGGGATATGAAGTTAGGAATGAAAAAATTCATGAACTGGTCTGAGCGGATCAAATTATTACAAAAATAAAATTTTAATGTATCTGAGAACAATATATAAACCCAAAGCAGTAGTAATAACAATGATGTTTAAGACCTCAAGAGACAGAAAGAAGTTTTAGCAAATTAATTAAGGATTAGAAGGATAGCTAAGTATATGCAATTTGAGATAATATTGCCAAAACTTCAGAATTTCCCATCAGTGTTTCCAAAATAGACCTTGAAATCTTGTCAATGTAATCCAGAATAGTCACTAACCAACCAGCAGTCTGAAAGCAGTGATCCTAGTTAAGTCTGAGAGTTGTAGGAGGTAAAAGAATGAATACAAAATGAAGAGGATGCATAGGAACAAATAAAGTTTAAGCAGATTGATGTCCAGATTTTTACAGTGATTTCAGAATTATCACACATTGCACAAATTTCCCCTAAGCATATATACCAAATATTCAGTAATATATAATCAAATACATTACTTCTTAGCAACCGATTAAAAAAATAAATGAATTTTGAAAAATACATACAACTTTTTTTAAAAAGTATCATTTAGCTTGGCTACCTTTGGTCCTGAAATTGGATGGATGGTGTTTTTGGCAGCTAGAGGATGAGGAAAGGAATTCTGGAATGCAAATGCTGACGAGACAGGATAACCAACCCCACAAGCAGGGTAAGTCAATCTACCATCAACCTGAAAATAAAACCATAAAAATGATTAAGGATGAGAAATTAGTTCTAAATAGCAGTGGCTGATCCAGGAGGAGTTAACATCTGTTAGAAAAATTTATAGTAAGTCCACAATCAGAGGCCAATTTTATTTCTCATAACAATAAAAAAAATTGGCCTACGTGTTTTAGATTGCTGTGAAGTTAAGACAAACCAGCCACTGGACCTGCCTTTGAATTGGAATTACAACAAAGATCTCCCATTCATGTCAGTACCCTCTCAGCCTCCCATTCCTGAAAAGGGTAAGAGGTAGGTGCAGTCACAGACCAACAGATCAATCCAGAACAAAACAGAAATTATTTTCTGCCAGATTACCTAAGTAAAAACAAGATCAGTGTTCTTCAATGGACTGAGACAGTAATTTGCATGGTCACTAGTTTCCAATACAGTAACACCACAATTGACCAAGGTCAGGAGAACAGTTAACTTTTATAAGTAGATAGTGGAAACACATACCTTCAGAAGCAATTATGTTTATCAGTGGTTGTATGACAGAAATACCTTTCACAGATTTATCATCAATCATTAAGGTTAAGTCTGTCAAGTGTTTTCAAGTTTGCCATTCAGTACCAAACAAATCTTTTCCACACTAGTGTGTGATTCAGCAGAAATTTTTTCTGTTCTATAACACTTCCCCTAAGACACTTAAGTACTGTCTGATTTACCAGTCATAAACTACAAATTTAATTGGGCACTTGACTTTTAAACAATTTGCCAATGGAGTCAGGTCAATGACCACCGGAAATATTATCCATGTCCATATATATTGGGTGTGATTTTCTTTCGCACACGAGGTATTTCAGTAAGAAGTATTAACAGGGACTAATTTACTGGACTTAGACATATAAGTTAGAGGATTTAAGGGACAATATAAGAAAGTTGAGCTCTGCTATGAAGCAGATACTATCAAGAAATAAGATTAACTGTTACGATAAACAGCCAAATAAATCTTATCTATTAAGGCCGGAGGAACAGATTAAGGCCAAAACTAATTGGCAATGAAGCAGTAGTCAATTAAGTTTGCCAGGATATGAGAATATTTGCCCATTTTGCTGTCTGCGGCAATACTCATATCTGTGTGCGTGTTCAGACTTGATTATTACAGTGGTCTTTACTTAAGTCTTGATCCTTCATGTCAGCCATGTCTGATACTGACTTTCTGTGAAATGGTTTATGTGCTTTCACACCCAGGCCTATCTGATAGTACCATGTCAGCTGCCAAACACAAGGAGCTACTTTTCTTTTTCTTGCATCCTATTTCTTATAAGGAAAAAGGAAGAACCTGATGCCGGGAACAAGAAAGGCTATAAATCAGTTTTTTCCTAGAATCTAGAACTAATAATTCTGGCAAGAAAGCTTTTCTCCTTTTTCTTTTTCTGACAATTCTATTTAGGTGCATCCATTTTAGTTACAAACTTAAGGCCAAACCCTGTCCAAAATCTTAACTGTTAAGGCAGGAGGCCTACCAGATACTTGCACATGGACACACATGCCCATGCATGTGTGTGCATGTGCCTTGAAGTTTTTCAGCACATTTGGCGTTATTTTAATTAAAACTGGCTGATATTTTAACAAAAATAATGAACAACCATATACCAGAGACATTCTGTGGGGGTGGAGTGGGGAATGGGACCAAAAACGGGGGGGGGGGGAGGGAAATGCACGGGACTATGGTGGTGGCACAGGGGTGATTTGGTGATGGGAAACCCGCGGGGATTACAATCGAGATGTAAAAAAAAATGTGTAAAATGATGTAAAAATAAACTTTGAAATAAAAAAAAAACTGGCTGATATTTATAGCCATTAAATCTTACTTGTTAACAGCAAGTATACCTATATGGTCTACTTCCAAGGACAACTGAAACGACTTGAATGCAATTAGTTGTAGGACTCCAATAATACCAGTACCAGCACCTGGCCTGAAGACTGTCTAACTGTCTGGGAGTATTTCTTGTCTGAGGAAATTTACTAAGAGCACTCACAACTTAATTTGAACCTTACCACATTAGTGTTAGGAGAAATTCCACTTCTGATTGTGTTGCTACCAGGATGTACAGGTGGAGTGGCAGAGGATCCCAACACATCTTGCTTTCTCACTAGCTGATTTTCATTTAGCTCTTTATTTAACCATGTGATTACTTAAAGAACAAGAAAGTAATTTTTTTATTAAACTTATTTTTCTAAAAATTTCAAACATTTAAAAACAATAGTGCAATTTAAAAAAATTCTTAAAACTATCTTATGTCACATGAAAACATAGGTTCAAATTTTGTTAAAAGTTTCTAACTTTAGAAACTACCATATAGTCTCCTTTTTCTATTACTATCAGAACATATTTTTGCTAATCAACAATCTCTTCAAAGGCCTTTTTTCTCTATACCTTACATTTAATTGAAATTCACTCGTATCTGAATACCAATACCAGACACCAAGAAAATGTTAGCTGTAGGATTAAACTTCTATTTTAGTTTCAAAAAATTCATATTACTATTAGGTAAACAAAGCAATTAAAAATGAAAAAAATTAAATAAGTCAATATATTCTACTTTCAATTTTGGGTTACTGATACATGTGATATGGTTTTCTTCATAATGATATATTTTATAAGGCAGATAGCATAATTTACTAAAGCAAAAACATTAAAACAGCATATTTCAAGCAGAATTTTTGCATATGAAAACTGAATTCAAATAACATTTTCAGCTCATTTAAATAAAAGATAAAATACTTACACTTTTCATTATTTTTTAAAAGCTGTTTGCTTTCTTCAAGTTTTTGAACTGTAGCTTCTAACTGTTCTTGTAATTTGCATACCTGAAATGTCAATCCTCACAGTAATTATAATGAAGACTAAAATAAAAACTGAAGAAAATTTTATTAATAACTGATTATCGTATTAATTATAAAGGATATTAGTTTACATACTTATTAAAATGTGTGTGTATACTTACACACTTATACATAACTTTCCACACAAAAATCAGTTATTATCGTTATTATTTGACTCTAATAATGTTCTTTTGAAAAATAAAAATCAGTGAGGAAATTTGTTCTATCTTGGAAATAATCACACACACACACACAAACATAAAATTAACTACCTCCTGCTCTTTAACTCGGAGTGACTGTCCAACATCTTGTAATTCTTTTTGTTCCTTTTGTAATTTTTCTTCTTTCTCAGCCAACAGTTTTTCTTGTTGAATGGTAACGGTATTCTTCAATTTCAATTTACCCATTAAAGTTTTCAGATCCCCTTGTAACTTTTTGATAATTTCATTTGCCTGTAAAAGAGCTTCATATATGTATTTTCACAAACTCTAATGAAATGTTTACCTTCTATTAAATTTTTAAAAACAAACCTTAAGAAGTTCTGTGGATAATGATTTTATTGTGGCTTCAAGTTTTCCCAGTTGTACCTGATTTTTCTCACCATTTTCTTCTAAAGCCACCTAGTATGTAGTTTTTAAAAAATGAACAATTAGGGAATTTTGTTTGTTTAGGAAAAACATTGCTTATAAATGTGATCATCAATTTGTTCAGAAAATTTTAAAGCAGACCTTTTGTTCCTGAATTGTATCAAATGCTTCTTTTGTTCTTAAAACAAGCTGGTCCTTATCCTTGATTTCCTGTTCTAAAACAGCCACTTTTGTTTGTAGCTGATTAATATGCTTTTCTTTTTCATGGCATTCAGCATCTAGGGTGGAATTCTCTCTCCGCAAAGAGAGGACTTCTTGCTTAGTTCGCTGGAGCTCCTAGAGGAGGGGAAAATGATACACTATGAAAAGGGAATTAGGTTAATCTGGTGACTTAGAATTAAGATGTTTAAAATATAAAAGATATTTTAAATAATTTTAAAATTCTAGTACTGACTTTTTAAATGTTTTCTCTTAAATATAATCATAAAACACACTAAAATCTAATCCAATCATTGTAAGAAAAATTAAAACAATACTGAATTATGAACAAGTTACTGTAATTTTTAAAACTAGCAACATAATTTTCTAATGTTACGAAATTTACGTATTTTAAAATATCACTTCGGTAATAAATGATCATTATAGAATAGAAATTACAAAGTATATAAAAGTAAGTTAAAGTCCTATCATCTACGCAGTTTCTCAGCTAGCGTGCATACTGAAATCACCTGGGAAGTTACACAAGTACGGATGCCTACTACTATCCCCCCAAATCCTGATTTAGTGTGGCATATGGCCTGTACTGTCAGACATCTGAAAGCTCTTCAACTGGTTCTAAGGGTAGCCAAGGATAAGAATCATGCTCTAGAGTTAACACTTTTTTCCCCTCTATTGTTTAAGTAAAGATTTATTTTTTTTATTTTTAATTTTTTTAAATTTATTTACTTATTCATACAGAACTGGAGTACAGCCAGAGATACAAGGGCAGTGAGAGGATTCACCAGAGACAGGGTAGGGAGCAAAATGACTGAACTGAGTCGGGAGTGGACTGACTGAAACATATTCATGAGGGGAGCATCAGGCGAGACAAGAGAACTCTGCCACCCATGTGGATCACCTCCAATCTCAAGTGGCTGTGGCTAGCTTGCTGTGCTGGCCCCCAACCCACCAGGGAGGGCCCGATGTATTTTTTTAAAGAGCCTACACTGTACTTTTTATAATCTACTTTATTCATATATACTGCAAATACCTTTCCAATTCAACATATATATTAATATTTCTGGATTCCCTTTTGGCTCATTCTTAAAGCAAAATCAAGACAACAATAATTGTTAATTAAAATTAAACTTTTAAAAATCAAGACTATATTACTTACCAATCAGCTAATACTAATCCAAATGATGCCAGTGTACAAAAACTGAATGTACGGTAAGTACTACTAGATAATTTTCGTTTTTAACAAAACAGAATAAGTTTACAATTACACCATAATGGTTTTAGAAGTAAACACTTGGTATCAGACAGATTTAACTGTTCCTCTTTGTGGTCTTGGGAATTAACTTCCCTAAATCTAAGTTACTTCATTTGTCTAACAGAAGAGATAAAAATGCTTTACAAACTATTTCATTTCATCTTCACAAAAACCCTAATGTAAATTGTTTGGCAGATTGCTTGGCATATAACATTCAATAAATAGTAGTAATCATTATTTCTAGGGCCCTAGTGCCTAAAAGGCATAATTTAATAAATTAGAAGAAATTAACATAATTAGAAGAACACAATCAGAATAATGGAAAAAAGCAACATAAATGAGATACTCGTTATACATGGAACAGTTTCAAGAGTAAGAACTCATACAGCATTATTATGAAATATTTGGACTACACAATGTTCTATTAAAAATGAAATGTTTTACTAACTGGTGTGAAAGATGAAGAGAGGAGGAACAACTGAAGACAACTATTATTTGGCAAAGGAACACCACCTACACAAATGAAGTAATAAAATCAAAATGTTCTTTCGTGATTCATACGCAATATTCAATACCTCTTCAATTCCAGTCAGTTTTGCTTTCAGTTCTCTGACGGTGGAGTCTCCTTTGTATTTCCTTTCGGTTAGGTCTTTATTGGCAGTTTCTAACTCAGACAATCTGTTTTGTAGCTGCTGGATATTTCGTTGATGGAGTGTTTCTAAATCTTTTTTCTGTTGTTCATGCTGTTGTTGGTACTGAACCTGTGCCTATTATCGTAAACATTTAGTATGAAAATTAAGAGAAAAAAGTCAAAATATGGGAAAATGATGAAAAAAATAATCGTGATTACTTATCCTTAAAATCATTAGATATTCCTGTTTTGACAAAGGTCACGTCAATTATGAAAGGAAAAGTAAGATCAATAAAGTGAAATTTACAACTATGATATTGTTCACAATCTACTTCTTGACTTACTTATGTTTAGAATAGTCTCTATCATCAAGAATAATATAAGATTAAGTTAAATAATATAAAATAATATATATAGATTCATATATTGTTATATATATGATAATTATATATTTTGCTATATGTTATAGCAAAAAAAAAAGTGGATACATAAGAGAACTTTCAGTATTTGTTTAAAACACCAAAATAGCTTCAGTTTTTTACAATCCATGTTTTATAAAGAAAAAAAAACCAAACATTTGAAATATACAAATAATACTGTAAGTTTCTATTTATATGGAGTTCCAGAACAAGCAAATTAATCAATGATGACAGAAGCCTGAAGAGTGATAATCTTCTGTAAGATGTATGTTGTGGCCTGGCAAGACACACAAGACAACCTAAAAAGATGGTATAATTTCTGAATTTTAATTTGAAAGAAGGTTTTATATATATATATATATATAATATATATATATATATATATATATATATATATAAAGCAAAGAAAGTTAATTCAGAGCAGCTGAAAATGATAGTCACTCAGAAAAAGCAAGCAAAAGATACTAAAAATAATTCAAATACATGGGTGAATTGGTGGTTTACAAATGAGATGGAAAAAGGCACAAAATGATGTAAAAATAAACTATTATATTATTTTAAAAAATAATAATTCAAATAAAAAATTAGAAATAAAAATAGCCAGTCAGTCATAGTAACAAGTGCTTATTTTCACTAGAAAGCTAAGGAATAAATTAAAACCAATTCTACTTTAATACCTCACAGGTTGTGAATATTATAAGGTTAGTAACAAGGGCCTATCATGCAGTGCAACTCTTTGAAGTGCAGCACTATGAGACTGTCCGCAGCCACTAAAGCACTAGCTCGATCCCCAGCCAGGGAGCTGACCCACATGGTGCAACAGACCTCTCCTGTCCAACCTGCTGCTCCCCTCAGCACTGTATTTCAGTCAGTCCACCTGTCCTGTTCCCCACTCTGTCTCTGATGTGTCCTTACCCACTCCTCCATCCCCCCACCTGCTCTGGCCAGTATCCAGTTCTTGTATGCATAAATAAATCTTCTTTTAAAAAAAGTAGGAATATAAAAGGTGAGTAACAATATACTATTTTGGAAATTCCATTTCATACAATCTCTTTGGGTGACAAATTTACAATATCCATCAATATTTTATAAAGATATGTTGCAATCTTACTTCTAGGAACAGAGAATGTTCAATCCCGTACTGTCTGCATTAACCAAAATTTTGAAGCATTTAAATGTCCACAGTTAAGTAGTTAAATAATTTATATCCAATTAATGAACACTATGCCATCATTAAAAAGAAATATCTGAACTGACAAGAGAATGTTATCGCTGATGTCATGTTAGGGGAAAAATTATAATCAACATATACAGTAGAAATATAAGATCTCAATAACATAAAAATAAAACCCACTACAAATAAGCATATACTGTAATTATGTATAATGCACATCTCAAATTTATAATTACAAATACTATAAAAAATATATTTTTACATAGAGAAAAATCCACATATAGAAAAAAAGGTTATCTTTAAAGAAGAGTTTAGTTTCATACACTTGTACAACATTTGAAAATTTCAAAGCAAATAGCGGGTTGTCAGAAAAGTCATGATGTATTTTTCCAAAGATTTATTTATTTATGCATACAGAACTGGAGTATAGGCAGAGGTACAGGGACGGTGAGAGGATTCACCAGAGACAAGGTGGGGAGCAGAACAGACAGATCAACGAAGTACACTGCTGTGGGGAGCAGCAGGAGGGACAAGAGAGGTCTGCTGTGCCAGGTGGCTCACCTCCCTGGCCGGAGATCCAGGGAGATGCTGAAATGGCTGGGGCCAGCTTGCAGTGCTGTTCTTTAACCCATGACGCCACCAGGGAGAGCCCCAATTTTTCCTATCCTTCAAGCAAAAATGCATCATGACTTTTCCAACAGCCTAATATATATTACTTTTACAACTAATAAAATACCTGAATGCTATAGCAAAATAGTTTTCCAGTTTCTTCTAATGTTCATACCTGCAAAGCTTTTTCCTTCTCATTTGTCAGTTCCTGAGAATGCTTATTTGACAATGCTGCTGTGTGTGATGCCCATTCATTTCGTAACTTATCTAATTCTTGGATTTTTTCTGATAACGTCTGTATTAGAATTCAATACAAAATATTAAAAGTCTCCTGAATATGTAGTTAGATTAACATATAACATTAGACATAGCAATATTTACGACGACATTAAAGAAAACAAAAAGTTTCTTTGATTTAGATACAGTCAAAGTGTTTCCTATAAATTTTTTTTTGTACTTGAGATCAAGATTAAAACAAAAGTAACTTTTACCGCTCATAGGTCAAGCTTAATTATCTTATTTAACCTTCTATCTAAATCTGGTTTTTTAGCAACTTGGACATTAAGAAAGAAGGCAATGCAGGCTTGTTTAAGTCAGTTATGATGTATTTCAATTACACACATAAAATCCAGTAATGCATGTTCCAAAAATGTAGCAAGTAATGTCTGTGTATTTACTTCTTGGAGAAATGCAATAAATCAGATACTCTGAGCCTTAATTTCAGGGAGTAAGGGCAAGTGGCTGTAACTGAAATGATGATTAAGCCTAAGAGAGGAATTAATTCTAAATATAACTCAAGGAAGGGATAGTTTTTAAAAAGATGAAAAGCCATTTTAAACAAGAGAAAGAAGGTGAATAAAAGGGGAAGAGAGAACTAACTTGTAACAGATACTGTATCTTAATCTTATTAATAAAGAATTGGCAGGAACATGTCATACGCTGGATAATGAATTCTTTGGATGGAATAAAATACCTAGGCGAGAGGCAGAGATTAAAGTAGTTATCTGGTCGAGCAAGGAAAAAGGAATCCAATGGCAGAATGCTTGGAAAAATAAAAACATAAAAGCTTGAATTTGATTTAAGAAGTGATTCAGAGCCAATGTTTGGATGATTTACAAAGACATTCAATGAAATATGAATTACCTTTTGTGTGAAATTCAGTTGCCTAGTAACATCGTCTAGAGATTGCGTCAATGATAATTTTTCTTCCTAGTTATAAAAATAATAAAATCGTGCTGTTTATAATTTAAACATCTGTAACTACGCTACTCAAAGTGTAGCAAAGTATGACATTAGTATCACCCTGGAAGTTGTTAGAAAATGTAGAATTTCAGGTTCTACCTCAGGTCTTTTGAATAAAATATGCACAAACAATATTCCTAAGAGATTTGTATACCGTTAAATTTTGAGATACACTGATCTAAATGCACTTATATGTTTAACTAAAAAGATTCTGAGAACTCTTACATGGCAATGACATCCCAATGTTGTTTCTTGTGTTACATGCCTTTTACAGTTGGACAGCATTTGCCATTTTCAACACATTTGCACATATTTTATCTCACTTCAGAGAGGGAAAATAGTGTAGATATTTATTTTCACTCATTTCTAGCAACTAATTAAAGCATGACTCCAAGAGGTTAGGAGACCTGGCCAAGGTCACAGACAAACAGTAAAAGCACATAGACTTAAGTTTCTCAATTCCTAGTCTAGTTTTATCCTCACTGTACCTTAAGTATAAAAATCATTTAATGTAAATAATTAAACTTATGAATGTATTTATTAAAGCTTTACTCAGAAGCCAAAAAACTCTTAATATTTAACAATAAATAAATTTTAAATCTTACCTTGCTACATTTTAAACAACCTGCTAGAAATTTCTTTATTTCCACATCATTTCCAGGTAAAAGTTTTAGTGAGAGGTGTGTAAGATGCTTAAAAGGATTTGTCTCTACCACATTTAAAAAAGCCGGTGAGTTATCCAAAATCGCTGCTGGAGAGACTAACTGTAGCAAAAATCTTTGAAAAGAAAAGTATCACATTTTAATGCAGTTATCAGTAAAATTCTCCCATTGAACATTGAACTCCTCTACTTAGAAGGATCAAAAAAGGTGCTATGTTGGCAAATTAGAGGTCATTATGAAAAGATCCTTTAGGGGAAAACAAGATAAACTGATGCATATGACAAAATGGATAAATTGGGCAAGAAAAAAGTAGAAGAACTGACTTCTCCATGAGCTATGTGAGAAGTTTGCAAACAAATCTAAAAGCAAAAACAACCCAAAACTGACTTGAAGCCATGAAAGTAACTGGATTAACAACTCCTCATTCTAAAAATACATAATTTAAAAGTTGGCATTAAAAAAGTTAGCACTTTTCTGTATGAATTTTCATGGTAATAAGACAGCCCTAATTGATAAGAGAAAGCTCTTCTCTATTGAAGAATTATATCTAAAAAAGAATCGATAAAAAAATGCACAATTTTTTAATTCCAAGTGAAAGCATTGATTTAAACAACAATCATCAATTGATACAACAGATAAAAGGTTGATGACTTTTACAATGACAGGACCAGGTATTAGCTTCACATGAAAATGAATACATACAGATCCACACAATTTTCTTCTGTTTTAACAAGTTAGTTATAAGAACATAATGATGCTGTTTTCAAATAACTTTGTCAAAAGGCTTTGTGAAGACATAAAAATTAAGGTGTAATATTTTATTTTAATCATGAGTCCTTAAACTTGAGATTTAACAGAGCCCTAACTCCAATACTTAAAGTATACAGTGGTACTTATAGAAGATATATTCCCATCAACTTGTCTTTCAAAGAGTTTGCTTGAGAAAGGTTTAAAGATTTACTGCTTTTATGAGACTTACCTTGGAATTTCTTTGGCTTGTTCTTGAGTACACTGCTGAAGGAGATCTATAAATTTTTGTGGGAAAGCTAAGAAGTCTACAAGAAGACCTTGCTGGAATTTCAAACTACAGACAAGAAGACAAGAAAAAAAATTTTTAATGTAGTTACTATCTTCAATAAATAATAATCCCTGAAAGAGTCTTAATTTTAATTTACTGAATACCCACTATAATCAAGAGCTAAGTAAAGAACTTTGATTTCTATAGTACTTATTCAATGGTAGGGGTGGAAAAGTCAACATATTCAGTGAAAGCTCCAGATTTCTAACTTGTCTTAACAGAAATCTGGTAATCCATAAATGTTTATTTTAAAAACATCCTGAGTAGGCCCTTCCAGGTGGCAGAAAGGGTTAAAACAGCACTGTGAAGCTGGGGGGGGGGTGACCCACATTGTGCAGCAGACCTCTCCTGTCTTGCCTGCTGCTCCCTTCAGCAGTGTACTTCTGTAGAGCTGCTTGTTCTGCTCCCTACTCTGTCTCTGGTGTCATAGGTAAAGTGTGTCAAAGAGAACAGTACCAGTATATTCAGAAACTCTAGAACTTATTTATCCCTGGATTAAGGATAATAGCAAAAAATAAATTTAGTTACCTCTGAAAGTCTTCCTCAGATATAACAAGGTTATACAGAAAAAATGGGTCAGTATCATCAGTCAGACGAATAGTTAGATCCTAAAAGATAGACATTTTTAAATGTTTTCAATACATCTGGCTTTTAGAGTAGTTTCTTCCTTTCTGTAAGTGAAATTTTTCAACAACATCAATGAATCACCATCACCCTTTAGATGGCTTTGTTTTTTGATGTCACTGGGTTTCCATTTGTCTTAGAAACTTAGAATCTTAAATCAGGATAGATATTCTGCTCTTTGAAAGCCACAATGCGGGGGTTGGGAGGGGTGAGGGGAAGGGAGTAGGGTGGGCAGGAGAGAAATCTATAAACATCAATTCAATTTCAAAAGTTGAAAGTTTAGGAATAATCACCCTATCAGCAGCTTAAGAAAAATGTACACCTAGCTTTCACTGCACTAGAGTACAGGGGCAAAAATATTCTTCACCACTGGCCAGTTCAATCATATTTTCAGTTTCCTTCAAGTAACTGGCTGGCATTTTAAAAGTGGCAAATATGCTGACAGATAACAACAATCAACCACCCACCCTGGAAAAGAAACATTTGTCTGGCAGGCAGCGAACAGGGTATCAGGTGACACGTTGCCAAGGAGTAGCAAGGGCCTATACTCTCCTATTCCAAGTGGCCTCTGAGTGGAACCCCATCTGTTTTCAGTTTCAAATAAAGTAGGTACTTTTCATAAAGACCACTTTCCCAGACAATTTAAAATGTGGCAAATCATCACGGAAGGTAAAGCAAACAGAAAAGCGCACAGAAATGGTGTGCTTCAGAGAACCATAGAAGGTAGAAGAAAACAGGTACAGCTCTATGAAAAGAGAACTAATGAAGAATATATTTTGCACTTTGAAATAAAATTTATTTGTGGCTACTAAGGAACTGCTAGGATCCTAGAAAAATTTATATCATTAGTGATTAGCACTGTAAACTCTACAGCAGGTGTAAGGAATTAACAGGTAGAAAGTATAGTATATAAGGAATAACAGGTACAAAGTATGGAAAATGAGCAATCTAGGTATTTGCTGTGTTTTGGAATGCCCTGCTTTTAAAGCATCTTCTGTTTAAATATTTCTTGAAATCCACCCAAAATGCTAAAAACCAAAAAAACCTGAAGCTGCTACTAACAGTTCCTTAAATATGTTTATGAAAAGCTATCACAGAAAAAATAGATGCTATAGTTCTTATCCCTCTATTTTGTATTCTCATCTGTTAATAATCCATACTTAGAAAATCATACAGAGCAAATGTTCTAAGTGTCTCTTTTCAGAAGGCAAAGTAGAAAGATTCAAGAACATTCCATGCAACCCATTCCATTCAACCCATTCTTTTCTCAGATTTCCACCATAAAAAGTCAATTCTGTAAGGTGGGAATATATATTTTAACAATTATAAAGGCTTTGGATAAACCTAAAGAAACTGTTTTCCCAATCCCTAATTCATCCTATATAGTTTAGAAATATATAGTGGAAAACAGTAGAGTCATCCATTCCAGTTTTGAAAGTTACAAAACAGCTCAAAATGGAAAAGCAAGATGGGTGTAATAAAAGATCTCACATTCTTAAAAAGTTATGCTCAACAAACAGAAATTACCAAAGGTCAAAAAAGAAATAAATACCAACCTTTCTGTGAACTGGACTTGAAACTGATTGTAGTTCAATGCTCACTCTAACACTTACTCTCCTGTATAAAAAGATATGCCCAACTATCAGAAATGTTGCCATGAAAAGAGTTATCACTGTCGTCTGCATTAACTAAAGTTTCCTGTCTTAATCCACAAGAGCTTCCATAGGAATCACCAAAAACTTATGATCAAATAGCTAGAGAGCACACTGGACTGCTGTTTAAGATCTTATTTTTTCACTAGTAAGTACACAGGGATTTTAACCTAAATTTTCCTTTCCTGTAAAATAGGTTTGTTGTAAGGATTATATGATATATATGTAGAATGCCTAGTACTAGCTTGGTATACAGCTTGCTGCCCTGATTCTAAAATAGCATCTACTTAAAGACAAACCATCCATCTAAGTAACAACTTTCCATATTAAAAGTTACCATTTCAAGTGATCATTTTGATGTGAATGATTAGAATCCAGGAAATAATATTCCCTATCCTTATGCATAGACAACATTTTTTTCCATATCCATTAACTTCATCTGTTCAATATACTCTTTATAAAAGATACCCACAGAAATAAGGTCAGCAAGTTTGTCATCTATTTTATGTACCTCTAAATCCTAAAAGGGGACCATGACTTTCCACATTCTATACTGCATCTTAGAGAATCCAGATATCAGACAGAGGCATATAAGCAAAGCTCATAAACACTATCAATAAACTGGGCAAAAATGTTTAAATAATTCAGGAATAAAGGCAAAATGAGTTGTGTTTTTTTAATCTCTGCACAAGTGGTCCTCAGATGATTTTATTAGGTAATAAATAAAGTTCTTTCCCTGATGTGCAGGGAAATAGAATTTGTTCGATTTTTAAGTTATTCCTTTGAAAATGTGTTTTAAACCTTTCCTACACTCTACAATCAATAGAATTAAAAGTGTCAAGACAGTAAGAAATGTTGATGGAAAACTCAGTAGTTATTGAACATAGCTAAACTAACTAGACTTTTAATTCTGACTTACAATTTTATATTAATCTAAAATTATATAATACCATAACCTGGACCAGTTGTCTGAAGAGAGATAAGCAGTACTGATGAATAACACAAAGAGAAGAATTATCTTTAAAATGAGAATGTTTTGTTTCTATTTTTCTAATATGTAAAGCAATATATATGAGATAGATTAGAGCTCTACTCCAACTTCACTTCAATTAAGCATGTTTAGAGGACATAACTTTCCACTTGTAATACAAGAGGACTAAATTAGGCTTGTGAGGACCTTTCTCTTTTCAATAATCTCTTTATGTTTGGTTTTATCTTCGGAAGTTTTCAAGTAGATTATTGCCAAAATGGCGTGACAATGAAGTCAATAACTAACTTTGATTAGTGATTTCTAGTTTTAAAAGTCCTATCATACTTGATAAATTTGTAGAAAAATATTCAAGAAGCATCTCTTTAATAAGTTCTTTATATACTACTGGCAATAACATTGACATAAATTTCCAATCATATCACTAATATCGATGCATATATTCTGTATGTCCGTATCCATTAGATGTTCACTGAAAAAAAAAAAATACTCCTCATGTTTACTTCAAAATCCTGTGTAAAAATATCCTATAGAAAGGTAACAGTCTTCGGAGTATATGGTATCTGAAATACATTTTTTATGTTGTAATGCTTAATGTCACAGGAATACCATTAGACAAACAAAAATTCAATTAAAAAGTACTATTTCTCAAAATAAATGCCATACTAAGAACAGTATATAAATCTATTAATACATCCTATCAGTTAGATTGGGCACTGGCAGAACTGGATTCTAGCCACCTCTGCCACCTGTAGCGGTGATCTGAAACTCTCAAGGCAAACAAATAAAAGGTAGCCTAAGCCAGGTACTGTGCTGGGTGCTAGGGATACAAACAGAAATAAACATGATCCATGTCCTCAAATCAAAGTCAGATTAAGTGACTTTAACTCAGATTTCTTCTGATTGTATTTTAGCACTACAACAGGGGGAGGGAAGTACTTAGTGAGGACATACATGGGACTTCACGTGTATCATATTCAACAAGAAGCTTCTCTAAATATTATCTTGGCCATAGAAGGAAGAACTGGAGGCTTAAAAAGTTAAGATTTATTTAAGCACACACTGCAGGTCCACTCAGAAAATAACAAGTAAATTGGGATAAGCAGCCTAGGAAATCAATGAAAAGCAGGAGGTTGGTGTCAAGCCACAAACTTCAAAATTGTGCATCATTTTTTCTTCAGATAGAGTAAAAATCTGAATTTCCTTTTCGATGATATTAGTGTACTTATACTACCTCATGAAATAATCACACTTTACTAACAGCTAAAGTTTAGTGAGTGATCATGATGCTCCTGGTATTGCTTGTGGCATTTCTATATATATTAACTCATGCTCATAATAACTCCAGGAGCAAGGTAATTTTATTATCATCAATTTAAAGATGAGGTACATGGGGCCCTCCTTGGTGGCCCAAAGAGTTACAGACCAGAACAAAAGCACAAGAAGCTAGCTACAGCTGCTTCAGCACAAGTTCAATCCCTGGTCAGGGAGGTGACCCACATGGTACAGCAGACCTCTCCTGACTTGCCTGCTGCTCCCTCAGCAGTGTGTTTCAGGAGATCTTCCTGTTCTGCTCCTCACTCTGTCTCTGATGAATCCTCTCAACCCCTAACCCCAGCACCTCTGACCTGTACCCCAGTTCTTGTATGCATAAACAAACCTTTAAACATAAATAAATAAATAAAAATAAGGCACAGAGAAGTTTAAAAAAAAATGTATAAAATCAAACAGTCAATAACTGGCTGAACTGGGATATAACCTAGCTATTCTGTCTCAAGAGCCTGAACTCTTAACCTGTGTGCTGCTGCCTTTCCAAGGAAAAGTGTTTGCTTCCCCTATTAAAGTGTGAGCTCCTTGAAGGACAAAATGGCAATATTCTTTTATGTGGGGGAAGGAGGGTGTTACAAGGGTGGGAGCTTTATATTCTTAGAACTGAGGATACTGCCTCCTAAGTACTGGCAAATACTTGTTGAGCTACACTGGCCTTAAGTACTTACTTAAAGAATTTGGATTGTTTTTTTCTATAAGTCAGAGGTCAACAAACTTTTACTACACAGGGACAGATAATAAATATTTTAGGTTTTTTGCAGCCCTTAAGGTATTTGTTGCAATTATTTATTCTGCCCTGTAGTTCCAAAGTGGTTATAAGTAATCCTTCAATAAAAGAATGGCTATGTTCCAATAAAACTTTATTTACAAATACAGGAAATGGACCATCTGGGCATGGGCTCTCTTTCCTAGGTGACAGTAACATATGAAACAGGAGTAAGAAGAATAAAATTGTAGTTTAAGAGCCCTCCCTGGTGGCTCAGCGGATTAAAACACAGCACTAAGAAGCTTAAGCCACTTCCATATGAGTTCGATTCCTCCCTGCCCCGAGGAGATCCACATGGTGAGGCAGACCTCTCCTGACCCGCCCGCTGCTCCCCTCAGCAGTGTACTTGTCAATCTTCCTGTTCTGCTCCCCACTCTGTCTCTGGTGAATCCTCTCACCCTCTGCATCTCTGGCCTGTACCCCAGTTCTGTATGAATAAATAAATCTTTTAAAAAAAAATTGTAGTTTAAGGAGGTAACTGATGACAATATAATAAAATGGAGAAGAGCTAAGAGTTTCAATATTGGATTCAAAAATGACACCCACCCCCTTTTCCATAATCATTCTAGAACAGTACTGTTCAACAAAAATACAAGAGGCCACAAATAAAATCCATGCACACAACTTGAAAATTTCCAGATGCCAAATCACAATATTTATTTAGCCCAAGATGTCCAAGACACTACCACCCTTAAATACAATCAATATAAAAATTACAAAGATAGCTTACAAATCTATCTTTTAACAACTCTTCAAAACCCAATGTGCACTTTGTCCTTGCAGCACATCCACTGGAATGAGCATCATTTCAAATCGCTAATAACCACAGGTGGTTCCCATAATGGACAAAAGCATGACCACGAAATATCCCTATAGCCTTCCATATGCGGCTGCACTAAACACTAGTTTCACATGACTGGCAACTCAATAAATCAATGTCTTTATTTTTTATATGTTACTTTCCACCTACATTTTTACACTTGATCCTTGGAGTAACAATGTGGGTAGGCGTCAACCAATCAGGCATGTTACATTTGTTTTACAAATGAGGAAACAAGATTCAGAGAAGTTAAAAGGTGGAACAGAGGCAAAATTGTAAATCTCTTCACTTCTAATCAATCATCTCAACGAGCTCGTTAGCATCACCTCCCTAATCAAACTTAAAATTTTGCATTCGTCGGTGAAACTGCCTGTAATTTCCTCCCCTCGGCGGCAGACTCCACGAAGACAAAGACTGTTTTTCGTGATCACCGTATCCCCAGTGTCCTGCAAAGTGTTTTTGTAAGTAGGCAGTATCAGTTCAATTAATAAGTGAATGAATGAAGTTTCTACTTTTTCCCTACGGTGTGTACTTGATTAAACATAGTTTTTTTGTGACTAATATGAAGACGAGGCACTAAACTGTAGAAATAACTTCTTTAAAGTTGAAGTTTAAATTTACTTCCAATATAGTTCAAGAGAATGTGGGAAAAGGTTAGGAGCCAGGGCCTAAGTTCTAATACCCCGATTTCAATACGAGCCGTCACAAAAATGATTTATCTGTCTGGCCAGAGTTGTTACCTGTCAAAAGGGGAGAGTAGGGCTACATAATCTCCATCCCTAAAAAGCCAAGATTGTTGACACTCATACCCTCCTTCCGCGCCCTCAAACAACTGCCGGCTAGGCAAGAATTATTAAGTCTCAACGAGGTCTCTCTCCGCGTCTCCGGGAGGCCGGAGGGACACCTAGTCGCCGGTCTGTGCCCACTGGCCAGGGCCGCCATCTTTCCCTCTTGGCCCGACCCCAACGGCCATCCGCCGGCACTGGGGAACGCGAACCTCACCTCTCCTCGCAGTCTTTGCATTTCACCTGCAACGGGACTATCTGTTGAAACAGAACCTGGCTCATGTTGGAAGGCTGCCCCGGCTAGCGTGCCGAACAGTCCAGCAAGCCTGGCCCACGGTACACGGGTGAAAGGCGTCCGGGTCTTTGCTAAAGTTTAAGTTTCGCGCTCGGTTTCCGCGGAGGAGGCGGGGAAAGAAACGGAGGGAAGACGGAGAAAGTTTGGACCTCGCCGGCCACCATCCGCTTCTTCCGGTTTTGCAAAGAATGCTGCGGTAGTTCCGGGCATTGACCTGAGTGGGGGAAATCCTGCGGTAGCCATATTTGTTGAGGGAATGGGACCCGAGGGAAACTGCCAACTTTTACTCTCTTCGCCCGCTGCTTGCTACCCGAAGGGAGCCTTGAGTTATGGCGTCTTCTGTGCCAACGCCGCACGCGACTGGCTTTCCAGCGGAAGGTCGATGCGGTTATTACGTGGAAAAGAAGAAGCGGTTCTGCAGGATGGTGGTGGCAACAGGGAAAAGGTTCTGTGGCGAACACGCTGGAGCCGCGGAGGTCTGGTATCGCTCTACTACCCCTCTCGAGAGTCGGAAATAAGTTTTCTGGGCCGGCACCTCCCTGCTGACAGATTTCTGTTTCTGTGCCCAGGATTTTCCAGCCTTTCCTTTCATAAACGCTGTTCTGCACTCCCTGGGGAGCGATAAAGGGCACTCGTGAAGTGCCGTGTTTTACAAAGTAAAGCGCCGGCGGTGACCGGCTTCTCTTAATACCGGGCTAGATTTTACTTCAACGCCAAACTACCATCTTTCACTCCGCCCACTCGCCGCCTCCCTCATAGGAAGTGATAGTTTAGGAAGTATAATGACGGAAGATTCCTGAGATTTCACTTGTGGTGTTCTGCTCGTTTCGTGAACGATAATCGTGTCTCTTGAATGCAGTTGAGGGAAACTTCGCAAGTTTTACTTAAACGTGATCTTTTGAAAGCCACGTGTAACTACTTTGTTGGAAAGGGGAAGGAAAGATTTAAAAACAAGCCATGAATAGAATCGTCCTTTAAAATTAACATCAGAAAGGGTACGACTTTGTTCGATGATGCTAGCTTTGTTCAGACACTAGCTAATGTCTGCAGATATCCGAGACACTTGGAACATTCAGGAATGTTCTGGCATATAACGTAAAAACCAGAGCTGCTGCTAAACCTCTTAGAGCATCGAACAAAGTATATGTAATTGTACTGTCAGTCTATAGGCTTAATATGTGTGTATTGTTTTAGAACATATGCACTAGAAAAATCAGAACAAGAGCAGGATCTTACAGGAAAAGAATAGTCAGACATCTAGTTTCATGACTTCTGACTGTCCAGTATCATTTACATTATTTGTCTTTGTGAAGTCAGGTGGTGCATCCTTCTAAGGGATATACAGAGGGAGTCAGCCCACAGAGCCCCTTCATCTGATTGTGTCCATCATAACCTTAGCTTTCCTTCATATTTTATCTGACCCACCCTTGCCTAGAATGAAGCTATTGAGCATGCATTTTTCTGTTGTAGGATGTGGGAGTAACGTGACTTATGGTGACACCTTTTTGACTTAACACCCACAGTTTACTGACTGGTTTGAAGAAACCAGCAAACCTCTCTGGACTAAAAAATAATATCTGTACAGAAGAATTTTGTCCTGTTATAAGATGGTATACTTAACCTTCACCAGACAGCTGAAAGTTGACTGCAGATTGTGACAATAGTAAAATCTGAGTAGACCCTTACAAAGCTTATTGGTATTTGGGGATGAGTAATACCTGTTGTTACTAGTGCCTTGAAGAAAGAATGCAAAACACATAAGTGGAAAAACACTTGTAATAAATGTGATGTAGTTTTCAGTGTAGGCATCATGCTGAATCTGTAATTTAAGATATAGCTGGGTGTTATGTTTCCATCATTTTTTCCTAAATGTCATTTGTCCATGAGACCACTTGTACTCATTTTTACTCAGAGGTCCTCCATTGAGGATCATTTTGCCTCCCAAGACACACTAGCCAATATATGAAGATATTTGGGACACTTTGAACACTGAGGAAAATGTTCCAGTATATAATGTATAAAACCCAAAGATGCTGCTAAACCTCTTAAAATGTGCAAGGCAGTCAGTCACCCCCACGAAAGAATGATCTGGCCCAAATGTCACAAGTGCCAAAGTTGAGAAAACTGTTTCTAACAGAAATAATAAATTTTAAAAGTGCTTTATTCTCATTTCATAGTTAGGCTTCAGAGGATTAGAATAGAGTCTTCTTTTTCATGAAGGTTAGAGTTCAAAATAAACAAATAAAAATAATGTACAGTATTTTTTAAAAAATAAAAAATCTCTTGGCTTTCCCTTGAAATCAAGTGTACATACAGTTTTATGGATAGTCCAGGATTCAGATTAGAACTAAAATATATGGAAAAAAGAACTTAGCTTTTACAGTAAACCCAGCACTTCTTTAATCTCTTAGCTCATTTAATTTTCACAAACCTTAAGATAGTAAGACATTACCATCTTTTGGATCAGATAGTAAACATAGCACAGGACTTAGGTACAGGCATTGGTAGAATTGAAAATCATAATCTAAGCAATCTGGCTGACCTGTGGTTTTAGCTACTATACTTTTGTGTTACATCAGATGTTTATGAATGTTGGGTAGAATTGCCAACACTATTAATTTTACTTTATTTGTTCCTGGTCCATATAGTTAAATCCATGTAATTTAGAAATGAACGCAGTGTAATTCTGCTCAAATGAAAAGTTGCAAAGCAAGCATGCTATGACAACATATCAGATGCTTAAAATGACATGTTTTGGAGTTTCTGACAAACTTTTTTCACATTTTAACGTATTTGAAATTAGAATATATCTTAGAATCAATGTCATGATTTCATCGGCAGCATTTTTTTATTAGTAGCACTTTCAAAAATAGTTCATATTATGTTCAGTGCTTTCAGATTCTAAATTCCATGTAGACCTTCTCTTACATATTTGAAGCTTCAGATCTTGTACAGAGTAGCATTTGTTTGTATATACATAATTAGTTGCAATGGAGATTTTTATTCTTAAATCCTATGATTTGATTTTGCCAGTAGTTTAATAGTGTACTTTTTTACTGTGTTTGAGAAATGCATAAAATTACAATTATATTGCAATTATATCTAGTATTCATAAGAACTTAATATTTTATTGAAATATTTTTTTTTTTTTTAAGGAGGAAAATTCTCGGAAAAGAATCCTGTGTCCTTTAGATCCAAAACAGTAAGTATGGATCAGAGAAGGGAAACAATATTACAAGTTTATTTTAAATAGCTTTTTGTGCTGGAAAAAGAGAAAAAATAATTTTCTCTTTAAATTTAGCACAGTATATGAAGACCAACTAGCAAGGCATTTGAAGAAATGTAACTCAAGAGAGAAGCCAAAACCCGTAAGTGTTTGATTAGTAAAACTGAATAATGATGTGTGTGGCATAGTGTTTATATACACTTAATAGATTACAAAAGTGAACATTTAACAAGGTTAAATATGTTAAGTACATTTCAGTATACATAAAACAGACTGAATCCACTTAATAGTTCTATTTGAGATCATAGAATTTTAAAGAATGAGAGTGTTATTAGAGAATAATTTCAGTGTATTTATATAAAACTATTTACTTGTTGTCTAATAAATTTACTTCATAAAGTATGGTCCCAGACTTCAAGAAATTGATTGAGGTCAGTAAGTAAACTTAAATAATGTCATTATTTAATTGGGTCAATGAAAGAATTAGTATCCTGTGAGAAGAACACATATTTGCATTAAAATTAAATCCAAAGGCTTAGTTAGGAAAGACTTCCCAGAAGGAATAACACCTGAGCTGAGACTTGGTTTAGCAAAAAATTAAAAATAAAAAAGGTAAAAGAGCCATAGGTATATAGGTAGAAAGAACTATATATGCCCACTCAAAAGCTTAGAAGCTACATGAGACCTTCAAAGAGCTTGAACTTCATTCTGTAAGATATGGTGAACCACCAAAAGAATTTAAGCTGGAGAATTTGTGTTCAGATTTACCTTTAAAAACATTTTCTTAGAGCAGTGAAGGGAGAAAATGGTAAATCAGAAAACTTGTTTGTGCCTGATACTAAAATTCAGGTGGGACATGATAATCGAGACTGAATTAAAGTGGATAGAAAGGGTAGTAATAAAATCAATAAATATTTGTAATAGAAAAGTAAAAGTAAGAGAAGAGGAAAAATTTTTTATTTAATAAATATTAATTAAAACTTATGCCAATCATTGTACTAAATATTCTGCCGGGAAGACAATTATAATATAGAGGGGAACTGGATAATTATGTGTTCAGATTTACCTTTAAAAATATATATTTTTAAATAGTAATAATAATAATGAACAACTATATACCAGAGACATTTTACAGGGTGGAGTGGGGAATGGGATCAAAAACAAAAATGAGAGGGGGGGGTTAGTGCACTGGACTATGGTGATGGCACATGGGTGAATTGGTGGTGGGAAGCCCATGGGGATTACAGCTGAGATGGAAAAAGGCACAAAATGATGTAAAAGTAAACTATTATATTATTTGTTTTTAAAAACTTTTTTTTAAATAGCTGTTCATTATTACTATTTTCTCGCCTGGTCCGTTATACTCCTGCTATGAGTGAAACCATCTATTATTTTTCCTTTTTTTTCTGGCTTATTTCACTAAGCATGATCTTTTCCAGCTCCATACATGTTGCTGCAAAAATGTTTTTATTTTTTTAGTGGCTGAGTAATATTCCATTGTGTATATGTACCACATCTTTTTAATCTAGTCATCCACTTTTGGGCATTTGGGTTGTTTCCATGTCTTTCCAATTGTAAATAAAGTGACAATAAACATGGGGGTGCAGGAAAAACTTTTTTTTTTTTTAAAGAGAGAAAGTGCTCTATTATTTGTGTTAAAATAGGTTAAATACAGAGTACTATGAAAGAGTAAGGGAGAAGAGCCTAATCATCTTTTAAAAGAATATAGGGGGGGTGAGGATGTGGGGGTGTGGGAAGAATAAGGGAGGCTTCTCTACAGAATGTCATAAGTGCAACCTACAAGTCAAAAGAGAGTCAGCCAGATAAGGAAGAAAACAGGTAAAGGCCTTCAAGGGAGAGAATACATAGCCGTATCTGGGACTGGGCATTTCACATGATCAGAGTATGAAATACGAATGGAGAGTGAGTAGAAGATGATACTTGAGAGAGCTAGGAAACAGCATGACCAAGGTCAGAACTCTAGATGGTACTGACATTAAGAGGTAAGCTGCTAATAAGAACCATAGAAAAATACTGAGAAGAGAAAAACGAGAAAAGCATGATGTAGAAGCCAGAAAATGGAGCATATCAAAGAACAAAGCGTGATCAACAGTATCTTAGACTAAAAAGATATCAGTTAAGGTAGGAGCATTAAAGGATCCATTAAATTGGCAATATAATGGTTGTTAAAGAACAAAAACTTCAGCAAAATGCATATTTAATGGAGTAGTGTGGGCATAAATGAGATTGGGATTATATATGAGTAAGTGGAAAATAAGGCAGTAGAGATCACTGTTACAGATTATTCTCTCAAGAAATTTGGCTAGGAGTGAAACTTTAAAGTTAGAATGTTATTAGAGAGGAAGGTAGGATAGGAGGTGTGTTTCAAAATCAGAACATTTAGTATTTATTTACTCATTGCTAAGAGTAATGAGCCACTAGCAAGGAAGAAAGTTGAAGGCACATTATTGATGGTGGGAGGCACCCCAGGAAGCATGCATACATAGGGAACAAGAGGAGGGGAAGAAATAGCTCTTTCACTGATATAGATGACAAGGAGTTAAGGTTGGCTATCAGTTCAGGCAAATTGAACCATCAGGAGTTTTAACTAGAATGTTGTCATTTGATAGCTACACTTCTCTTGTCAGTAAGAGCCAGATCATTAAAGGGGAAGATGTTGAAGTAGGAGATTTAAGAAGAAATGCAAACATTTAGATTATTCTTAATATTACGAAGAATAATTAGTAGGCATCTTGAAAAGTCAGATTGAGAGTAGATATACTGAATTTGAATTGGCGCCAGTCCAAATGACTAGGTGATTTTACTAGCTGGCCCGATAGTAGGAGTTATAAGTCATAATGCAGTCATTAGGTTTTGAAAGGGTAGGTGTGGCAGAAGGACCAGATTGTGAAATTTGATGATAAAGATGATACTGGATATCCAGAGTAAATGACATGAAAGAAAAGCCAGAAACTAGCTGAGAAGGTGTGAATAGAAGTCCCGAAAAGATGGAAGAATGTGATTTTAAAAATCATTATAGTTTGCACAACCATAAAACAAATTTATTGTCAGAGAAGGGACAAAGGAGGTTTAAGATTTCAGAGATTAACTGGTTCACAATAACGCCAGAGTCTAGAAGACCCATGGAAGTAGTCTGCTAAAATGCAAGTGTGTCATTAGAGTTAAGAAGGTTAAGACCAGAGTTGTGATGTTGGGTGACTTGAAAAGCTAGTCATATTGGCTAGACTTAATGGAAAGAATGAGTTGGTGTTAAAATCCCTAATAAGTGTTGGACAATGACCAACCAATTGATAATTGACAATTACTGGGAGATTAAGAAGGTGATTTAATGGCTTGGTATTTTTCCAGGGTAGGGTAACTAACATGTGGATGGGACAGTTCTATCCTGCTGTCCTGTGTGCATTTCAAAGTGTCCATGTATTTAGCACTCTAGGCTGCTAAGCAGCAGTTATCAGTAACACTTGTCACTGAATAAGAAAGATCTGAACTTTAATCTTACTTTCAGGCTGACAAGTTAGTCTGCCATCAGTTTGTAGATGCAAGCAGAAGATACGAGATTCCTGGGTCAGACAGAGCCCTGTTAGTACACACTGTATAGCAAGCAACTTGAGTTTCTTGTCTACATGAATTCTTGTTTCCCAAGGGACCCTGAGTCAGCATAGAGGGACCCAGGCGGATGCTACACATGTTTGTGCATAGTTTGTGTCATAGTTGAAGAACCCCAAGCTTGGGAAACATAGATCTTTTAAAATGGACAGTAAGCAAAGCTGCCTGACCTTGTTTCCATCAACAGACCTTTCTTTACTATGTGGTACGGTAGGCAGACCTTCCCTTTGCTGTAGGAGACACGATTTCTGTCAAGGTATACAAAAGATAGTCTAGCACAAAAGTGGCCAGTATTTTTTATAAATAAGACTTGCAGAAGAAGCCCCATGGAGAATTGTTTCCCAACAGCATGTCCCAGTCATCTTTTTTTTTTTTAGATATTATTTATTTATACATACAGAACTGGGGTACAAGCCAGAGAGGATTCAGTAAAGACAGAGTGGGGAGCAGAACAAGCAGATCAACGAAGTACACAGCTGAGGAGAGCAGCGGGCAAGACAGGAGAGGTCTGATGTGCCCCATGTGTAAAGGAAGTTCCATGAACACAGATTTTTTTGTGTGTCCTTTTCTCTATTGTGGCGAATCCTCAGCACTCAATGCAGACTAAGGACTGCAATATGTTTCATTGTCATTTAGTAAGGAAATGAATGGGAAAAAGGGAAGGAGGTGGGTGCAAAGTATAGGAGGGAAGGGAAAGGTCAGTTTCCCAGCTTAACTGTTGTGAGCACTTCATATTAAAACAATGTTTTTGTGTTTTTTTGTTGTTGTTCTTAAGGACTTCTTCATTCAAGACATTAATGCAGGCTTAAAAGATGAAACAGAAATACATGAAAAATTGGTAAGTACTTAGCATTTAATTTTAATGCTTTCTCCATTCTGTGAATAATCCGTGCTCCATTTTTGTCTGCAATAAGTCAGTTGTTTCGAGTTTCAAATTTCCATAAGAACCATTCATAGTAGTGGTTAGTTCCTAACTAGCTCATGTTTCATTTTTGTACATAGGTTCCAATTTCTTCCCTCTCTGAAGAGCAGTTGGAAAACTTAATTAAGAAATTGAGAAGAGCAAGTGAAAGTAAGTCTATCTGAACTTGCATATCAAACCTTTTTGAGAATTGGTGATGCAAGAGTTAATATCAGTGTGGTTTAGAAGATTTTACGGCACTGTTTAGAGCTGTAAGGTTTCATGTTACATAAGCTATTGTGCTTATATTTGGCACAGGTTTGAACTCTACACTTAAAGATCAAATTATGTCCCATCCAGCACTGCATGATGCCCTTAATGACCCTAAAAATGGTGATTCTGCAACCAAACACCTGAAACAGCAGGTATGTTTAGGCCATACTAACGCAACTAAAAATGACCTTTGTTCATTTTTCAAAAGCTAACATTCTGGGATTTTTTAGATAACAATTCAAGATATTTTGTTTAGTCTGCCTTTCAGGGTATAGAATTTTTCCATTTCTTTAACAGAAACACTATACATATGAACATTTTTAAAATTTTTGGCATAATTCTGAGAAGTATGTGTTAAATGAAAACTACAGACAAAAATCAAAACCAAACAAAAATTATCAATGTGAACATTACTGCCTTATGTAGAAAATCACCTTCTGTTTTCCCATTTGAGCCAAATATGTTTTGCTGTGGTGTAAAATAATCTTGTGAAGTTTGCAGGCTTCTATTTTAGGTAACATTGAAAAATTAAAGTTACTTGGTCCAAGAAGATGCTTTGTTGAGTTTGGAGCAGGAAAGGGAAAATTATCTCACTGGGTTGATATTGCCTTAAAAGATGCTGAAAAAGTTCATTTCATCCTGGTAGAAAAGGTGACCACAAGATTCAAGGTAAGTGAAACCATTGCATTATATTAGTCACCAAACTTTGCACTGTTCTTATTAAGAGAACTCAGACATCTTTTGAAGAGAATGAATTGTTATGTTCATTTGATGTGATAATTTGTTTTCTAATTATATTGAAGACTTAAACTGAAGGGAGTTTTTTTTTTTTATCTAAATTTTGTTATTGGTCCATTAATCTGAGTTCTTAAAATTATTAGCAAAGGAAACATTTAATGAGCATATCCCTAAGCACCAGAATAGGCTTCAGTTAGATAAGGATCTCTGAGTGCCATTATATTTAGAAAAGAGAGTTGGAAAAGTAGAAAAATTATAGAAAAGTGTTAAACATGAAAAACATATGCCAGAGTATACTGTGTGCTTGAAAAAGGTTTGCAGTTCCATGGTGTAATGGTTAACACTCTGGACTCTGAAAAAGATGGAGACAGATTCCCTCAGATTGGGCAAGTAAAAGGAGGAAGAAAATTATTTTGGAGGGAAAAATGATGAGTTTAGTTTTTCTGTTTTTTAAAGATTTGTTTATGCATACAGAGCTGGGGTATAGACCAGAGATGTGTGGGGGTAGCAGGTTGAGAGGATTCACCAGACACAGAGCAGGGAGCAGAACAGGCAGGTTGACTGAAATACATTGTTGAAGGGAGCAACGGGCAGAACAGGAGAGGTCTGCTGTGCCATGTGGGTTACACACACACACCTCCCTCTCCCCTCCCCACAGGGGAGCAAACTCAGGCTGAAGCAGCTGTGGCTGGCTAGCTTCATACTTGGCTGCGCTTTAACCCATTGCACCACCAGAGAGGGCCCTGAGTTCAGTTTAAGTGAGTTTTCTGTTAAAGTAGAGCTTTCTGGCTCACAATTGAGTATGTATCTAATGCTCATCAGTGAAGTCTGACTGCCTGCCACAGTGTAGATTTATAAATCATAGGCACATGAACATAAGTAGGCTGGATGTGATCGTTCAGGGAGAGTACTAAAGGAAAAAGCCCAAAGCAGACATTAGGAACTGGCGCATAACCTCAGGAGAATCACTTAACACCTGTGAACCTTAAATCCTTCATCAGTGAATCAGGTGTTTTTAGAATTAAAGGAAATAATGTGTACATAATAATTTGTACATTTGTAAGACTTATAAAAATTGTTATTTTGGAGTTTATGTGAAGGAATATACAAGTTATATTTTTTATTAATAGTTCTGTTTTTGAAAGACTGTTCTGCTGGAAACTTATTTACTCTGAATTCACAAACCTTTTTTTAACATAGATTGTTAATATTGTTCTCATTACAGGTAGATGGCAAACACAGAAAGAAAAATTCAGTGTTTGAAAGACTTCAAATTGATATTCAACACTTGTGTCTGAGTAAGTTGCATAATTTTAGTTGCTCTACCATAAATCACTGGCATCTCAAACTCTGAGAGTTGCTTAGAAACAAACATGCAGAACAGTGCTTTATAGAAAACAATACAAAATAAATCCATTGTTAATACAGGGTTGAGAAGTGTTTATATGAGTACAAATTGAGTTAAGCTTCAAACTTTAAAAAATGTTTTTCAGTATCAAATAAAAATGAAGTATCTCATTAGGGAAGTTTTAAAGTTTTGATATGTGCTTATTTTACTTATTTGTTCTCTTTAAACTGAGTCTATTGCTATTTTTCATTTATTTTGGTCTCTCTCTTTCAATTTAGAGGCTCTCCTCAAATATCTGTAGTTCTTTGATGCTGTGTTCATAGTTAAGATTGAGAGAACTAAGAATTCAGATGCCTCTGGTGGGATTATTGACTCTGAGCTCCAGTTTGAGAGCTTCCTGAGATACAGTGCTTCCTCTTAGGGTTGTCTGATTCTCGAGAAAAAGATTTCTAATCACCAGGGCTGAAATGGCACATTATACAGTACTATCTTACAGGCATTTTTCTTTACTTTTTTTACTTCTCCTAGAAGAGAATAAAAAGCAAGGATAGTAACTTGTTCTTGATCACAAAGATATATTAAGAAGTCTTTTTCGGCCCTCCCTGGTGGCGCAGCGGGTTAAAGTACAGCACTGAGAATCTAAAGCTGCCTCCACATGAGTTCGATTCCCGCCTGCTCCGGAGGTGACCACATGGTGTGGCAGACCTCTCTTGGCCCGCCT